GGGGGGGGCGGCGGAGGGGGGGCGGCGGCGGGCGGGGGCGGCGGGGGGGGGGGGGGGCGGGCGGCGGCGCGGGGCGGGCGGGGAGGGACGTCGCACGGCGACTGGCGCCAGGCCTCGCGACTCCAGCCTCTCCCGTAGGCTCAGCGGAAGCAGCTGTGGGTGGCCCTCATCGAGAAGGCGCTGGCCAAGCTGCACGGCTCCTACTTTGCCCTCCAGGCAGGGCGCGCCATCGAAGGCCTGGCCACGCTCACCGGCGCCCCCTGTGAGAGCCTGGCGCTGCAGGTCAGCTCCACTAACCCCCGCGAGGAGCCCGTTGACACTGACCTCATCTGGGCCAAAATGCTGAGTTCTAAGGAGGCTGGGTAAGAGGGGCGGGCGCTGTGGCGGTCAGCGGCGTTGGGAGGAGAGGCGAGGCGAGGGGACAGCCGGGCCGGGGCCTGGAGCGGTGGGACAAGCAGGGCGAGCGGCCTCTGACTCACAGCCTCCGTCCCCGGTGTCGCCGGCACCCCTCGCTGCTGGGCCGGGGGTCTGGCCTGCCCAGGTGGTGCGGGGGGCAGGCAGGACGCTGCCCGTTGGCCTCTGCCTCAGCTGGGCCTGTGATGACCGCCAGCGCCCGCTTGGAACCGCGTGGAGAGAGCCCCACAGAGGCACCTGGTGGGAGTGGGGTCTGCCCTCTGAGACCTGCCACACGCTGGCCACTTTGTCTGTGGGGAGGGCCCGGAAGCTTAAGCCTGGGAGAGACAGCTCCTCAGTGCCAAGACTTTGTGCTTTTGCCTGGTACTGGGCACCATCGCTGCCCTTGGAGGGCTGCAGCCCTGCACGGGCAGGACCAGCCAACCTCGAGGCTTCCAAGGGACCGGGCCTGCCCGACCCCCAGCCCAAGGCCTCTGAGCTTCGGGACCACAGTGGAGGGGGCTGGGCCAGCACTTCCTGGGTCCCACGTGTCTCACAGGGGCCCCGACAGAGAAGGGCCCCCTACCTTCCACTCCCCTTACTCCCCACCTCCCACCCCCCCACCCGGGAGCAGCACCTCCCCGCTAGGGGGGCAGGGCGAGCAGAGGCCGCTGGGTACTGAGGGGCCCCCAGTCAGTGAGGCTGCTCTGCCCACACAGGTTCCTCATGGGTGCGTCCTGTGGGGGGGGCAACATGAAGGTGGACGATGCTGCCTACGAGAGCCTGGGCTTGCGTCCCCGCCACGCCTACTCCATCCTGGACGTCCGCGATGTCCAGGGCTCCAGGTAGGGGCCGGGTGGATGTGTGGTGGAAACCGTGGCAGGCATGGTCGTGGCCCTGAGCCCTGTGGTCCACAGGCTCCTGCGCCTCCGGAACCCGTGGGGCCGCTTCTCCTGGAATGGCAGCTGGTCAGACGAGTGGCCGCACTGGCCGGGGCACCTGCGCAGCGAGCTCATGCCGCACGGCAGCAGCGAGGGCGTCTTCTGGATGGAGTACAGCGACTTCATCAGGTAGCTGGACACTGCTGGCAGCGGGTGTGCGGTGCCTGCCCCGTGGCTCCTGCCACCTTCCCCTTGGCTGCTCCCCTTGTCCCAGCATGTGGTGCCCTGACCTGGGGAGCCCACCTGTACCTCTCCGAATCCAGCCCAGCACAGGGTCAGTGGGGTGGGGAGGGGGGAGTGGAGGGCTTGGACCCCCAGGGCTCACCATCCTCACCGGCCCTCCCCATCAGACTTGGGACCCGGTGCCCCCTGGTGTCCTTGGGCAAGAGCCAGCACCAGGGCTTCCCAGACACGGGTCCCTGGAGATGCGGAGGGTGCCCTGGGGCAGGGAGTGGAGCGGGGACAGGAAGTACCTGTGCCTGAGCCGGGATGAGAGCTGCCCGGTGGGGCTGCCCTCTCGCTGTCTAGGTACTTCGACTCCGTGGACATCTGCAAGGTGCACTCGGACTGGCAGGAGGCGCGTGTGCAGGGCTGCTTTCCCAGCTCTGCCAGCGGGCCGGTGGGGGTAACTGCTCTCACCGTGCTGGAGCGCGCGTCCCTGGAGTTCGCCCTCTTCCAGGAGGGCAGCAGGTGAGCGGGGCGGGGCGGGGCTGCGCTGGGGGCGGGCTAGGATGGTGAGCTCCCGCGGGCGCGCGGCCGAGCTGCCCAGCCCCTGCACTGACCGCCGCCGTCCCCGGGCCACAGGCGCGCAGACTCGGTGGACAGCCACCTCCTGGACCTGTGCGTCCTGGTGTTCCGCGCGTCGTTCGGCAGCGGGGGCCGCCTGAGCCTGGGCCGCCTGCTCGCCCACAGCAAGCGCGCCGTCAAGAAGTTCGTCAACTGCGACGTGATGCTGGAGCCCGGCGAGTACGCCGTGGTGTGCTGTGCCTTCAACCACTGGAGCCCCGCCGCGCCGGGCCCCCCGGCCAGCACGCAGGGTAACCGCGCACCCGGGCACCCCGCCCCGCCGCACGGAGCGCTGCGCGTACCCGCGCTCATACGCCCGCCCCCCGCCTCCCCCGCCCCTCCCCGCAGCCTCCAGCCCCTCGGCGGGGGTCCCGCGCTGCAGCCCGCAGCCGCCCGGCCACGTGCTGGCCGTGTACAGCTCGAGGCTGGTCATGGTGGAGCCCGTGGAGGCCCAGCCGACCACGCTGGCCGACGCCATCATCCTGCTCACCGAGAGCCGGGGCGAGCGGCACGAGGTGGGCGGCCGGCAGGGTCCCGGGGGAGGGGGACGGGGAAGGAGCCGCCGCCCCAGCCCACTCCTGCACGGTCTGTGGCCAGGGACGCGAGGGCATGACCTGCTACTACCTGACGCACGGCTGGGCAGGCCTCATCGTGGTGGTGGAGAACCGGCACCCCAAGTCCTACCTGCACGTGCAGTGTGACTGCTCCGACAGCTTCAACGTGGTGTCCACGCGCGGCAGCCTGCGCACGCAGGACAGCGTGCCCCCGCTGCACAGGTGGGCCCCGCCCCGCCCGGCCCCTGCCCCGCCCCCTCACCTGGCTTCCGCTGGCCCTCACCGGCCCCCTCCCCCAGGCAGGTCCTGGTGATCCTGTCCCAGCTGGAGGGCAACGCGGGCTTCTCCATCACCCACCGCCTGGCGCACCGCAAGGCTGCGCAGGCCTTCCTCAGTGACTGGACAACCTCCAGGGGCACCCACAGCCCCCCTCTCACGCCCGAAGTCGCTGGCCTGCATGGCCCCCGGCCTCTGTGACCACCCCACCTTCCCAGCCCCCCCCACGCGCACTTTATGAGGGAGACCCCAACAGAGGACGCTTGAATCAGAATCTCAGGACCCCGCCCAGGGAGCCACTAGCTGTAGTAGCTTCCCCTAGGCCTTCCTCCCCGCTCCTCCCTCCTGCCCAGAGCCTCCCGCGGCCCAGCAGAATACCTCCAACCTGCCTGGAGCGGCCGGGCCTGTGCGCCCGCCTCTGGGACCCGCCGCCTGCAGGCTGGGTTCAGACGGCCCCGGCCACAGGGAGGCTGCTGCTTCCCTAGGGGCCGGGGGCCTCCTGCCTGCAGGAGGCTGCTCGGAGCCTTGCTCCTAGAACCGAATCTGGGCAGGTCAGAGTCCGGGACCCCAGAGTGGGAGCAGGGGTCACTCCCTTGCAGGGGTCAGGCTGGACCCCCAGGGTGAACAGCCATCTCCTCTGGGATGGAGGCTTGGAACCCCAGAGTGAGCAGGGACCACACCCTCATGAGACATGACAACAGGAGCCTTCTGTCCCCAGCTTGTCCCCAGAGCACATTTCCCTGCCCCCTGGCCTCCTCAAGCAAGCAGGGGTCCCCGGAGTCCCAGCAGCGTGTCCCGGGAGGCAGGTGGCTGGCGGCCACGGGCTGAGGGCTGGGATGGGGAAGGTCCCAGCTGCCCCTCTGACGACACTATGCAATTCCTGGACCCCCTGCCAGGAGTGAAGAAGCCATGCCCCGGGGGCTGGAGGCCAGGGGCTGTGGGGCAGGGTCCAACCAGGCCCCGGCCCCGGCCTGCTGTGAGGCGAGGTGGTTTGTCCTCATACCACCTGACCTCTGCCGGGAGGACCAGGGTCCGACAGCAATCCTGGGCCTCGCTGTCCGGGCAGAGGCCGGCCCCAGCAGTCCACCCCAGCTCCTCCCCCACCTCAGAAGCCGAGGGAGTGGAGCAGCTCCGTGGCTGCTCGGGCGTCCTCCCTGGAGGCTGCTGTCAGGCCGGAGTCCTGCCTCTGCCCCTGGACATCGGAGGCCAGCTTCCTGGGGGCCCGCCTGGCCTCAGTGTCCTGCTGTGCCCAGGCAGTGGGCAGCCCTGGAGCGCTTGGGGGCCTTTTACACCTGGAGAAGCATCAGGACGCTTGCCACTCCCTTTCGGGCCTCCTTTGTATCCCTTCTGTTACTCGGAGCTGTGAATATTTTTAACCCTGTACATACGTTCAGCTCTTCTGACCCAGAGGCTATTTTATCACTTGTCAGTCCCCATCCCTGCAGGATGGGTCTCCTTGGGTGTTTCCAGACTCAGGCTCCAATGGACCAAATAAAAACGTTTTGTTTTGTACTGACGCCTCCCGATCTGTCTGCCGCCCCTCCCGGGGTCCCTGGATTCCCGCCTCCCCTGCACAGGCAGGGGCTGTACCGAGGGCCACCCAAGCCTGCCCTGAGGGGAAGGGGGAGTACCTTGGCAGGCAAGGCTCACCAGCACCCGAGGTGCTCACAGGCGGCCTTCGGGACGCCCTGCTTGCACCTCACTTGCGTCCCCGAAGGCCTGGGTGTCTGGGCAGGGCGGAGGCTCGGGCCAGACCGTGCCGTGGTCAGCAGGCCGGTCCCCGTGCAGACAGAGCAGCACCCGTGCGCGGCTGCTCCCTGTGTGACATCTGCCTTCAGGGGGACGGGGGGCCTGTCTGAATCTCTCCGCTCTATAGGCAGGAGCAGATGGAGCAAGGGGGTGCACAGGAGAGAAGTGGCATGGTGGCCGTCCTGCTCCCACTCGGTCCCCTCCTGCTCGCTCTGGGGGGCGCTGTCCCCGTCCCACGGGTGGCAGGCCTGATGAGCGCTCCCTGGGCTGCAATTTGCACAGCCCTGCTCACCCCCGCCCCACGGAGGCCGCAAGGTAGAGGCGGTGCGGAGGCTGGCGCTCGGGCGGGTGTAAGAGGCCTGTCACAGGCCAGCCTGTCGAATGTGAAAGCAATTAAAGCCACCAGCAGTGTTCGCTCCGGGCGGGCCTCGGGCAGCGGGGCAGCTGCCACAACACATCTCACGGGCGCCCTGCTCCATCGCGGCTGCGCCGGCCGCTCTGGGCCTTGTCCCGTGGGGCAGGGGCGCGTCCACCTGGAGTGGGCAAAGAGCTGGCCCTGTCACTCCCGGGCGTCCCAGCAGCCTGGACCCGTGTCCTTACCCGGAAGCCTCCAGAAGCAAGATGTGGGAATTGTGGGTTCCCAGGGTCCTTGTGGTGCCAGGCCAGGCAGGGGACTCCACCGGGGGAGGGGGCTATGTGCCCACCCCCTCCCCTTGAACCCTAGCCTGCAGGAGAGGAGGCTCTAGCAGGTAGACGGGAATGGAACGGGGGACCAGGTGTCCCCAGCCCCAAAGGGCACACAGTGTCTGAGGAGGAGTTGGGGGACCCCCATAGTCCAGAGCCTTCGTTGTGACTTGGGAGCTCATGGAGGGTCCTGGCAAGGGGTGAGGTGGGGCTTGGCCTGGGTCAGGACCTGGGCCCCCGGGGAGGCGGCTGGTGGGGTGGAGAGAGGACGGGTGACCAGCCAGGCTGGCCGGGGCGCGGACTCACCCGCCAAGCCCTTGGCCGTGGCTGGAGGCACCCGGATCCCAGTGCTACCAAAATGGGGAGCAGGCCCAAGGCCAGGGGCCGTCCCCCGCCTTGCTGTGGGGCCCCAGCTCCCCACCTCAGCCTGCTCGGTCTCCCACCTTCTGGCTCCTGGGCCTGGGCCCTCCTCCCCATCTCGGCCCGCTGGCCTGGCCTCTCGTTCGGGCCGCCTCCCTGCTCACTCAGCCTCGGCGGCCTTCTCCAGGCGGGCGGTGCTGTGTTCTCACTTGTGAGGGGTCCCTGTCAGAAGCACTTAGTGTACAAATTAGCCGCGGCCTCCTCCCGGCCGTGGGCGCGCGGCTGACAGGGCCGAGGCTCCCGGCGCTCTCCCGCCTGCCCCGGGCACCCACACAGCCCGCGTGCACCCCTGGCCGTCCGCCCACCACCGAGCGGCAGGGCTGTTCCTCGCCTGCCCGCCAACCAGGGCTCCTCTCGGGGCCCCCGACCCTGACCTGGCCGGGGGCTGACCACGCCAAGGCCAAGCGCTCAGCCAGATAGTGGGGGACCAGAGCTCAAGGCCCGGCGCTTGGGTCTACCCCAGAGTCTCAGGCCCAGTGTCAAGAGAGCCGTGGGGGGACCCGGAGCTGGCACGGCGGCTGGGCGGCCCCCCTGCCCCGCCCGCTGGCTGGCCTGCCACTCAGGCAGGGAAAATCGTCTGTGACAGGCCCAGCAAGGCCGGGCCCCCGGGGCCAAGCAGCCGGGCACACAGCTCCTCTCCCAACATATGGCTGCTGTCGGCCCCAGGCGCTGCTCGGCCCACACTGGCTCGCAAGCGGGTGGGGGTTCGGGTGGCCTCAGCCCCGCATCCCACCTGTCTGGCCACTCCGCTGCCAGAGCTCGCATGCCTCCCATGACAGGGGGCTCGCTCCCGCTGCACCCAGCTCTCCCCGGTCCCTCCAGGGTACACGGAGAGTCTCCCCCCAGACCTCACCCCAGAGTGGCCAGGGGCCGGCATGTCTGGGACAGAGCCGTGGGAGGGGCCGTGGGGGCCTCCAGAGGACGGAGCCTGCAGCCGGTTGGTGGAGGGCATGGCAAAGCATGCATGGGCAGACGGAGAGTCACCATTGCAGGTCCGGGTGAGCTGCCGCCGCAGGGCTTCTCCTGGGGTCCCCCACCCGGTGCCGGCAGCTTCCCAGCGGGGTCTCCTCCCTTGGGGTGGCCTGCTCCACCCCACGTCCCTGGGCCTGTTTGGGCCGCCGCACAGATTCCCTGAGAATTCCCCAGGCTCTGCATGTGCCTGGCCCTCTCTAGCCTGCAGTGGGGACCCACAGGCCCGTGCCCGTCCTTGCCGGTCGCTGCCGCCATGGCTTCCTGCACAAGCCGGCCGGGAATCTCCCATGATCGGAATGGGGCTGGCAGATCCGCTAGCCTCAGGCAGCCTCAGGCCGGCCTCCGGGTCCCTCGGGTGGGACCCTGCCTCCTTTGGCCCAAGCCCTGGGCCCAGCCCTTGGAGCCAGGACTCCCTGACGCCCCACCAAGGAGCCGAGAAGGAAGAAGTACACAGGCTGCCTCGTGTCCTGGGCGTAGGGGGACCCGTGCGGCGCTCACCTCTCCCGAGGGCTCCTCGACCCTGCCTGGGGGCTCCAGCCCCTCCAGGCGTCTGCCCCGCACTGCCGGGGATTGTGTCCCCAGCCATTGTGCCTGTCCTAGAGAGAGCTGTGCGTGGACACTGAGGAGGTGAGACAGGGCCTCTGCGGGCCTGCTCCCCGGCCCCCGCCTCCCCTGCCGCCCCCCTGCACGGACGCAGCAGCCTGAATGGAGGTGACAGGCGGACTGCCGTGGGTAAGCCAGGCAGAGGAGGTAAACGGCCAAAGCGAGGCTCTGGCAGTGGTCAGAAGGAGGGTCGGGGACCCCCACCGCACCCTGCACCAGGACCCGCTGAAGAGACGCTGCTGCCCTAAGCCCGCCGGTACCCGAAGCCCCTGGAGACCAAGTGCCCTCCCAGCCCTCTGCCGGTGAGGGGACGAGGCGGGGCCTCAGAGCTCGGAGCCACACGTGACCAAGCCCCAGAGCCATGGGCGGCCCCGTCCTGCTTCAGGGGTCCGGACCCAAGCTCCTCCCAACGTGTGGAGTGGGTCCCCTCCGGGGGTCATGACCCACCCCCACCCCTGCTCCTGAGTGGAAAGATGCCCTAGTGGTGAGGGAGCAGATGGGCCTTGGGCTGAGGGCACGGGGGCAAGGGGCTGGCATTGACATCCCAGCCTTGCCCAGCTCCAGGGTGTGGGGACAGTCACCGGTGCCCCTGGGGGCTGGCCAGACTCACACTCCCATGCAAAGGCCGTTGGGCTGCCGCCACCTAGTTGGGCTCTGGGGCCCAGCCCCACGCAGACCCTCCTGGAAGCCCAGAAATACATACAGGTCACGCCCCCGGGTGCTGAGCCCCTGGAGGTGCCACCACCTCTCCTCTTCCTCAAACTCAGACTCAAAAGGCCACGCACGGGGGTGACCTCCTCCGTGTCCTCCTCCGTGTCCCGTCACCTGGAGTCCCAGCTTCCTCCCTCCTCTCTGGGCTCCTGTGGGCGGGCGTCCCTGGCTGTCCTCTCTGCACATGGAAAGGAAGGGTCCCAGCACCTGGGACTC